ATATGAGTTTTCAGAGGAAGGAAATGAGAAACCGGTTAGCACATTGCATGTTAGCCTATTCTGTTGATAGGAACAACCCAAATCTATATATGTACATATCTTCATACAGAAAAGCATGTGATACTGAGGATGATTATAGTTTACAATGTGTACTTACCAGGCCCTATTAACAACAGCCGATGAGCTGAACACTATGCAGTTGAATGTGCAGTACCAGCTTGTGTAAAAATTTATTTCAAATTCATTTCAATAATTAATATAGTAGATTTCCGTAAAGAAAACTGCTCGGCATTATGTTACATTTTGATTAGGTTGACGGATCCACTGGGAAAATCACAGATTGCACCCAGTCAAATCTCTCCTGGGTAAACTACCGACAACGTCATCGTTGAAAATTCTCTGAAAATAAGTTGCACTTAGCTCACTGTTGATTATCAAGATAACCAACTGCTTATAGTCTGGTTGCCTTTCTAGTACAGTCTACAATATTGTAGATGTAACTATTTAAATGCCGTCAAGTTGAATTTGTGTCCCTCTGTGAGCTGTTTCAGTCTGACTTCATTCTGGTCGCTTAAAGTCTCGAAAGTGTGCCCAGATAACCGTCCATTTACACGGTGGTTTTCTGTACACCGTTACTGAGGTGAGTATTACAACCAACGACAAGCTTATAAAATGCAACACTTGAGATTCTCATCGCACTGTGCCTTAGTGCATTTTGTCAACTCACCCGTTAACTTGTAAATTTCGAGTGATTATCGCTTTTAGAAATCATTGTCAGTACTTATCAGTTATGTGTATCAAAAATCAACAGGAGCTGATCAGTACATAAATGTTGCAAGCATTATATCAATGAATACTGGGAGAGCAATGGTTCGAACATTGTTTTCGCCCACTAGACAAATTTATTCATTGGAATATCTAGTCGACACTCAGTATCGATACAGCATAGCCTGATAAACCATTCTGAATGTTTGAAACCCTGTGGTGAAAATACGAGAACATGTTCGGTAAAAGCTTATCAAATCTATGTGAGCTAGTACCGTCATTGTTTGTTCCTGTTTGTCCCAGACTGCAGCAATATTGGTCCAAACATTCAGTTGTTTCACGAAAGGTGCACGAACTGACCATTTTTGACTGTAGGTCCATAAATCAAACACGATTTCAGCGTGCTCCAAATAGAATTGAAATCCTTGCGCTGAAATGGGACCTGGAATGCATTCGAGATGGGGGATAGAAGATAGAAGATGTGTACTTATAGCGTTACATTTTCTCAGTGTCAGCTTGTAACACTTTGTTTTGCATTCGGCTTTCTCTACTCGGCAGTTCACGCGGAATCACGTAGTGCCAGATTGCCGATCACATTCAGTAATGGCAACCACGAGTGGAATGGATAGTCGTTTCAGTGTCCAAAAGTAGATGTATGTTATGGCGATGGCAAATTAACGTCGTGGAGCAGTTATGCTTTAAGCTTCGGAAAGTGTATTAGATTACCAAGAATGCCAACGTTTTTCAAACTGCGAAATGCTGTCTACCATGATAGTGAAGATGTTGAGCGTGAAAGAGAAAATAAAATTATCATTTCAATCTAGAATCTATTTCAATAGATCAAACGGCTGAAGTTCTTGAGTATATTAGCATGGCATATTGCATCCTTCCAAATAGTTAAACACATCATAAGCTACTTGTTTCGGACATACAACCTGTGGTATCGAACTTCACTAATATACTAGATCGCCTCCTACACTGAACAAATGCGGCAAAACTACAACCTTCTTTCTCTGTTGGTTTCCTCGGAACATACAAATGACTTGCCAACTTGGCTTTGTCTAGTATATTCAGGACTATCCACTGAACAGATTCGTTTGGACAGTCGTGATTGACGTTGAATCACCTCATCTGACGTGAATTCTCTTCAAATTCACGCAAGTAGTAAATATGACTAGATGGTATGCAGTTGTGGGCACATCATTGCTACAAAATGCCCGTCCAGTAAAAGAACACTAAACAAAGTCAATAATGCTTTGGATATTCAATGAATTGTCTACCATCATTTTGTTCCTGATTAACAAACGATGAACCATGCTGACTTGTTTCTGTTACACACATCTCACTGATTGTCAGAAGAATGAGACCGATATTGGAAACCTGGAATTTCTACATTATCAAGTTTTGATAGCTTCATGATCAAAAACGATTCAGTTCAGTGGTAAATGCTTCAACAGATTTATGGAGTTAAAACATATGTGCCGGTGAAAAATCTGATTATTAACCGAGATCGAGCCGATTACAGAATCAGCTTCACTTCCGCATCTGATATTAAAAGCACATTAGTGTTTGCAGAACAATGTGAAACCGAACTCACAGTATTTTACTATGACAATTAGACTTTCAAGTTCGAGAATATTTGGAAACGAATTAATGGTGGAGCTCTATGCAAAGTCATGTCTCACCTGTTCCAATCAGTATTTCCTTAGTTTCCATGTTGAGACTCAAGAACTGTAGCCAGGCCGCCCAAGTTAATCCGTACTCACAAGCTGTAGCATACAGTAAACAGTCTTTCAAATATGGATGCTCCTTATTCAGGTCATTCGCCAAGTTTACACAACCCGCGTTCACATCGCCACGATTGACTAGAATGCTTCTTTCCGCTCCGCCTCCAAGTCCCTGGAGAAACTGTGTTCCGAGAGTTGCTCCATTTTTGTTGGCCAAATTGACAAACATGGTTTGATTACCCGTACCAAAAGTGTCATGTGTAAGAGCATAGCCAACCAAGTCGTCGTCATATTCTTTCGCTCGTCTACGAATCACGTCTGTGAGAGGGTTATTCGATGAGCCACGGTCGATGATTTGTATTCCTTCTTGCATATCCTCGAATTGCCAAAAGTGGTTGGTTGTTGCCTTGTAACGCACATCTAAGTTAAATCACAGAGAAAAACCTAGGATTATTGTAGATTGAGTGGTACGATTCACAACTGTCGAATTGGTGGGTTTGAACTTAGTACACCTGACTATTTCACAAAGTACTCATCATCCAGTTCAGTTGGACGTAGTCTGTACTGGTCAATAAATAATCCATAGGCGACCAAAATGGGAGTGAATTAATCGATCGCAACTCTTGTCTACCACAATCGGTTGTGCTAAGTAGCCTACCTTCTGTTTCAACCCATGCCAACTGACGGAACATTAGTAAACGGGAGAACGGATGCAATGTCTTTTACATACGATGTTAGCCAAATTAGTGTGATGCAGATTTGTTGGAAGTGGAGATTTAAACATGATAAGACAGTATATGATGAAAACTTTTAGCAACACGTGTCACTGAGAACGGATGGTATGGTTGTAACCAGTGGTTCTCACCATGAAGCGACTCCAGTGGATGTAGGCTGGCAGAAAGCGGCAAAACAGGCGTTCTCGTTACATGTTTCGATGTTGATGTGCCTGTAAATCAGAAAAAAAAGTGGATAGGCAAGACGATAAAATGATTAGATGTACACGTGTAGTTAGATTGGTAAAACGGATTGATTTGATTCGCACAACAGATATGAAAGATTAAAGCTAACTTGTATTTGCAGTTGCCAAAATCATCGATGCAGCCGTGCTGGTCACAGTCGACATGGTTGACGGCGATTTATCTGAGAACTGTTTATCCGTGACTAACTGACCGATCATGAATGAGGTTTTACTACTTTCAAATAGAGGCTGCTCCCAAAATGTTGGTTCATGTTTACGGTTGTCATCAGTCGTCGTACCAAGCAGAAGTGTGATTGCAGCTTCATTCTCTGTCGTAGCAGTTTGTTGTCCTTTTGAAGACATCTTCTCACTTTGGGGGTGTCCGTTGGATCGCCGTAGAAATATATTAGAAATCATTTAGATTTGTTCAGTAAGGTTACCTGTATGTTTTCTATATTCCGACCAAGGAAATCAGTTGTCTTTCTTTACAAACCACTGATAGATTTAACGTTTTGTGAATAAAGCTGATAGACACTTGCACATGCTTTCCCTCATTTGTTCTGGTAGGTAAATATCCTCTGTTACAAACACAATGAATCCTGAGAAACAGGAATATAATTGATTGAAATAGAGTTCTAAATTTGTCACTGATTTGCCGTTATTGGACGTAATGAAAACATCGTTCTGAGAGGCGTGTACATTTGATGATCAACGGGAGCGGTTTAGATGAGTGTCTGGAAGATGCGTGTTGTCGGTCGGATTTTAGTCATGTGTATCGAGTGGGTGTTTAAATCTATCAATCAAGTTAGTTGAGACAACAGATTTGTTTTTGCAATTTGTACAAAAAAGCAAATTATCTACAGCAAAGACCTTCAGCTATTGTTTGTATAAACAAACGAGTAATTTGTCACCGTCTAGTTCAATCTCTTGCAGCACCAGGGATTTCAACGTGCGACAGCATGCTCTTTGTATAATCATATATTCTGTTCACTTGAGTATTAGGCGGGTGAGGTTTTGCATTAGCTACCATATTCGTGACGATTACACCATGCTTCATATAATTAGGCTGAACTAAATCAAATCAAATAGACATCAAGCATTCCATCTGTAATCGTGCTTTCTAATAGGAACTGTACAGAGCAGTCAAAAGTCACAGTTGTTGTCAATCTGCGAATTGTATGGGGATACCTGCCTCAGTTTTGGACGTAGAATTATAATCCTCGAGAGGACAACATTGTGAATTAAACACTTATCGAATGGCGTACTAACAGATCATTATGATCCAATGCAGGTTTAGAAATACTAGACGCGTGTGATTCAACGTTATTCCTTCGTACTCACGTTGATCTCAGGGTCACTAATTTTATATACACGGGGTCATTTTCTCCTCAAGTTACTAGCGTGTGTTGCAAGTCTGCAAAAACTGCATGCGGAATACCGTCCTTTCCATTGTCGCTCCTTTGCTGTCGTTGTGTTTTCAATCGGTGAATGAGTTCTTGGAATAATGAGCCTAACACACTGATCAACTGAAATTTCCGAGCTCATGGCGTGGCTTCGTAGTTCAGCTGGTAGAGCACTTGCCGCGTTAAGGCATGATGTTTCTGTTGCTGCTTCGAATTCAGTCGAAGCTCGGATAATTCACAGTTGGGTTTCATCTAAAATGATCTATTTTGATTAAATTTGACACAACAATAAGACTTAATTCATAGAAAAATCTCCCCTGATTTTATTCCTCGCGATACCAGTAAGAAACAAAAACTGAAGTGGGCTCAAGAATCTAGCACAATCAAAAAGCGACTTCCATATTTGTGGCTTTCAATAAAAGCCAGTTACCTCACCGAATCCATATAACCAGAAGTAATTTAAATAGACAACTGCCTAAAATTATGTTGACAAAATTGTCCTGAGACATACTTTTCTACCACCATGGTTAAATGATCGAGTATGGGAAATAGTAGTGTTTTGAAATTGAAAACATTACCTTGGTGGTCTGACATTGTTGTCTGTAATGTTTACTTGAGGAAACATTTGTTCTTCTATTGTTTCCCATTGCCATTCTCATGGGGAATCAGTTTGCTTAGCACTAGGTGGTACGTCACAGGAAGGGGTAACAATTCGTCTTCTAGCCAGAATACATATTGTTTCCCTTGTTCGCAGGTGTGGGCGTGTATCATGGAAACTAATATAATGTTCATACTGTATCAGTGAGAAAACCGTGTATAACTTGGGTGGCATTAAACAGTACTGCCATCATCAGTTCCTGTGCGGTTAACTGTGAATTTGGGTGATGCACTCTATGTGGAGGCGTGCATTCTATTGTTTTCGCATTGAGTGTTCTGTTGTTCATACATACCTGATAAACATGAGTGATATTTTTTTAATCACCTTCCTTAATTATTCCGAAAAGAAGAAAAGGAATAAACTGTTATAAAACTTAAACACGCTGGAAGGACAAAGGTTGAAATTGAAGTTTCAAGTTGATCGAACAAATCTATATGTATGACAGTCGATATTTTCCGCTTTCGTATGAGGCCTATCTGAAAATTCATTCTCATGACGAAGCTGTCATTACGTTTAACAAACTGAGTTTGTTGCATAGAGACATACTCACAGATCATCAACCTGTTGCTATGGTATTTTGACTAATACCATCGAATCAATGCACACTGTCAATTTGTGTGTGGTGTTGTATTTAACCTTCACGCTTTATGATTCAAATAAACGCTACAGGTTTGACAAAACAATTTGATTTGTGAGAACCGTCATAATGGACATGCACAGCTGTTAGATGCCCGAGTCGAATTAATTCCACTCCTAGTATACTAGAATAAGACACATTTTATAATAGAGAGTGTACTAACAAGTCAAGGTAATTCTGAGGTTTACAACTTACTTTAGCGATTGGGCAACAAGTACACCCACGTATGCCAGAATAAACTACAGATATATTGACAAGTGATTCCCAGTGAACCATAAGAGGCAAACAACAAAGAGCCGGAGTTGGATGATAAAAACCCGCTTTCTGTAATAGTTTAATTCACTGGTGGTTGGAATATTGTCACGCTGTCCAGATTCAGACATCCATCAAATGACAAGTTGAATCTGGATGTTCGAGATTATCAGAAATACTAGATATTCACCGATTCATCAGAATAGATATAAAAAGAAAAATATTTTCGAGACGATTACATCTTGGAGGATTTTGTTCAAATTGCTGGCTGCTTTTTCATCTCAACAAGTGTTCAAGAGTGGTATGATACGTTCTGTTTCTCAACTGAACGTTCTATATGCTACATTGTAACTGCGTTGATCACGTGCATCTCCCGAACTGTCGAGTTAGTGCACCAGAATAGGTGTTGTGTCCTTAGCGCGCCCCCTAACATTTGTCACAGTGACAGTAACTGAGGTTTTGCCCATTTAGATGATTGTATTCAGTTGCTGTTTTGTTCACTCTCCACATAAGTTGACAATTATTGGTCATGTGATCTATGGTGTCAACATCGTCACAATTATCATTATCGAATAGCAATCCATAAGACAACAATACACCAAATATCGGATTACTACATCTGGCTTACACATTGACAAGCAACGTAGTTGAGAGTTGCATTTGCAAATAAGGAGAGAACTCAAGTTTTTCACGTATCTCTTATGGCTATTATTCTGTGACATGGCAAACGAAGTTCGTCTTTGCTTACTGGTCTTGGGTTGGATGTCCTTGTCCACATGATATTATTAAGGCTCAATTAAATCAGATCATCTGCTCCTCACTTCACTAGTTGTCACGGATCTCAATTGGTTGCAAATTCAATATCGTTAGTGCACTCTTGAAATGATTTTTCGATTTGTACATAAACGTGAAGTATCTCTAACGACGGACTCCATATTTTGTTGGTATGAGTAAATCGTTAATTCATTGTTGCCATGTTCAATAGCATCCAGCAATCTTGTTTTCAGTGTGTCGAAATGTACTGTTTGTATAAACATATGTATCGTTTATGTGAGCAATAAACAGGTTACATTCATTTTGTTGAGTGTTTATATCCACAACGACTACGTCATGCTTGATATAAGTGAACTGAGCTCTATCAAATCACCTAGACGATAACTGTCCTATCTTTAATCGCGCTTTCTAACATGAACTGTGTAAACGAACCGAAACTTCACGGTCATACCTCAGTTTAATTGTTCTCTACCTATAAACGAAATAAAGATACCCAACCCATCTTTGCAAGCAGCATTACAGCTCTCGAGTGAGCAATCATATGATTTTAGTAAGTGAAATCTCCGAAGAATTTACAATCAGATCATTATGATATGATGCATGCAATCCGAATTAATTCGTCTGTCCTCACGACAATCCCAAGGTTAATCGATTATATACACACGGAGTCGTTTTCCCTTTGTGATACTAATGTGGGTTGCGAGTTTAGTAAAACCACCATTAAAATACCTTGTCTGGTTAGATTTGTTTCATGTCTGTCGTCACATTTCTGATTCGTAAGCGAGTGTTTGATATTGTGGGGTTCATATCCCCTGATAATGCGGCTCGAAAATAATTAGACCTCAGAATAGTCGAAAAATGTACTCTCATAATTTTGCTCAAACATATTCCCGTATCATCATTTTTAAATGATCGAGTATGTGAAATAATAGTGTTTTGAAATTGCAAGTAATACCTAGGTGGTCTGACATTGTTGTTCGTAGTGTTTACTTGAAGACACATTTGTTCTTCTATTGTCTTCCATTGTCATTTTCATGTGGGACCAGTTTGCTACATGTTACTACATATTACCTCCCAAGAAGGGGTAACAGTTTGCATTCAAGCCAGAATACACCTTGTTTCCCTTGTTCACAGGTGTAGGCGTTTATCATGTAAACTAATACAATGTTCATACTGTGTCATTGGGGCAACCGTGTATAGCTTGTGTGGCAATAAACAGCATTGTCATCATCAGTTCTTGTGCGGTTAATTTTGAATTTGGGTGCCGTGCTGTTTGTTCTGTAACTTGTGTGATGCTCAACCGTACTGCCACCATTACTTCTTGTGCGATTAGTTGATAATTTGAGTGGCAAACTGTATGTAGTGGATCGTTGCGTCGTCTTTCTCACTGGGTGTCCTATACTCAACAAACATTCAGTCTTTATCGCAGGCGGTATTCTTCTGATCTCTACTGCTGATCATTATAAGGGAAAATGATGCGTTCTTCCACTTAGCACTCTACGCCGTTTCTATGAAATATATCTGTGAAATAATTCTCATGGTAAAATTTCGGGATTTTGTCAAATCCTTCTGCGTGGCTCAATTAATCTGGAGTCTTTCACGGTATTATATAACTGGTGTTAAGTTCAATGGGAACAGGTTGTGACATTTATTCTCGCCCGATGGGAAAATCAATCACCATGTGGTTATTAACTCCGAGATAAATAGCATATTAACGCGTTAGGAGAGACACACCTGAGTAGTTCGCAAATGAAATCACAGTCGATGTTATGCACGTTCTTAAGTAGAATGATATACCCTACTGAGGTAAAGAGCAGCAGGCTTCACAGCCGAATCGATAAAGCACTCCCCACGGCTGGGTATTCTGTTCTAGTCAATTGATCGGGTACATTGAAAGCTTGTTTTTTCAAAACTAGTTTTCTTCTCGATTGTTAAAATATTTCCACAGTAGTAAACTGTGTTGCCACCGAAAACTGCTACTTAACATCTCAGGAATCCGGTTTATTAACCTGCCATCTGTTGTGTTGATAAGCGATCGGGGATGCAAGCTTGTTATCTTCATGAAGGTATCTTAGAGGAACGGTTAAACTGTGCATAAAATGGCTCAATTGCGCGTCATGCGGTCGAGACTAATCATGGGAATTGCAATCGGTCGGTATTCTCAATCATTTTCGCGCACCAGAATAAACGCTTACTTCACTCTGCTGAGGCAATTGCTATTAGACCATTGAAACCGCCATTTTTTCCGCAAAAGGAACTGTTTATTAAATTAGCACTACCTCGGTAGCGTTAGTGATTGAATTGGGCAGTAAAGCTACTTCGCAAAATACTAACATTGTTTATTTGATGTTGTTCCGCACTTCATCACTGCATCAAGTTTACGTGAGGCCTACAATCACTGGGTTTCGTTGGAACCAGTGTTCTGGAAACTAGCCCTGTTTGTTGGAGATTAAAGCCACATTGATCTCAATGCAAGGAAAGAAGACACTTCTATTGGCAACAGTAAGCTTGGTGGATAGACTTACTTGGGGCAGTTCATCGAGCTGAGGATACTGAGACCATATGTTTCGGTGCGCCATGAGACCATCACGCCATATGAGAGTGATAGCGAGTGGGAATCTTGGACTGCTCGGTTGGATTCAGTATGTGGGTGAACGTCACTTGAAACAATCTTAGTGAAAAACGTTTGGGATATTTTAGTCGTCCCCAGTTCTCCTCA